TTTGTCCCAGACTGGCCTCAAACCATGATACTCTCAATCTCAGTCTCCCAAGTAGCTAGGATTGGAGGCATGAGCCACCAGTGCCCAGCCCTAATACTGTTTACTTTAGCTTGTTTGTAGCAAAGTTAATTAGGAAAGGGATTTAGTACAATAGGATAAAAGTGGGAAGACATCGCAGAAAAGGGAGAAAGAAACAGTTCCTATTCCCCATGCAGGAGATTCCACTTTAGCTATTTTTGAGTAGGATCTCACATTTTATGCCCGGTGGACCTGGACAAGATCCTCCTATTTATGCTTTCCACCTAGCTGGAATGACAAGCACAGGCCACCATGCCTAGCTTTTACTGGTTGAGATGGGGTCTTGCTGCACTGGCCTTGAACTACCATTTTCCCGATCTCTGCCTCCTGAGTAGCTAGGATTACAGGTGTAAGCCACTGTACCCCGCTGCATTTTTTTGTAGTACTGGAGTTTGAACTCAGGGCCTCACACTTGACAGTCAGGTGCTCTACCACTTGAGTCACTCTACCAGCCCCTTTGTGTGTGTGTGTGTGTGTGTGTGTTTTTTTTTTTTTTCAAGACAGTCTCAAGTACTTTGTGCCTGGGCTAGCTTTGAACCACAATTCTCCTGATCTCTGCTTCCTGAGTAGCTAGAATTATAGGCATGAGCCACTTGCCAGGCTGTATTAAAAAAAAAAAAAAAGAGGCAGAGACTTATTGTGTTGCCCAGGGTGGCCCAAATTCATGGGTTCTAACAATTCCTCTGCCCTAGTCTCCCAAGTAGCTGGAACTACAGGTGTGCATTACTGCACCTGGCTCAGGTCTGTATTTTTAAAATCAAACTCCCCGTCTTTCTGGAAATAGGTGATGTCCCAGATAACAACTTAAACTCTGTCCTGAAAGCTGACTTTGGAAATAGACAAGTCCTGATTTCAGACTCAAACAGTCAAGAAGAGTCCCTAGTGCAATAGATATGAAACAACTAATGTCACATCCCTCTCCAAAGACAACATCTCAATGGGCTTGACTGCAACCTTCTCCAGCTACAAAGGCACCACCTGAGCACTTACAGACAAACAACTCAAAGCCCAGCACAGTGGGTACACATCTGTAGTCCCAGCTATTCAGGAGGCTGAACCAGGAGGATCCTTTGAGCTCAGGTATTTGGGGCCAGCCTGAGAAACACAGTGAGACCGTATTTCAAAAAAACTATTAATAAGATTTAAAAATAAAAGAATTCAAGCTGCCAACTACAGGGACACCCCCTCCCCCACCCAATCTTTTAAACCAATTGAAGTGCAGGATTATGAAAAGCAGATATTCCATGAAGGGACTACAACTCAAAGATGACAACTTGAGGGTAGCAAAACACACAGTATGGGGTGAAATCCTATAACTTCTCAGAAGCTCCTTAACTTCTCTGAGACTTAGGTTCCTATTTGTAAGGCAGGAATAATCATTCCAATTGTTCAAGGTTGCTGAGAGGATTAAACACATAAATAAACATCAAGTGCACAAACACTGCTGCACAGGAACAGATGCTTGGTTAATGTGGACTCCTTTTTTTTTTCTTATTGTTTTATTATTCATATGTGCATACAAGGCTTGGGTCATTTCTCCCCCCTGCCCCCACCCCTCCCTTACCACCCACTCCCCTGCCTCTCCCCCCGCCCATCCCCTCAATACCCGGCAGAAACTATTTTGCCCTTATTTCTAATTTTGTTGAAGAGAGAGTATAAGCCATAATAGGAAGGAACAAGGGTTTTTGCTGGTTGAGATAAGGATAGCTATACAGGGAGTTGACTCACATTAATTTCCTGTGCATGTGTGCACCACCAAGTGAAATGCCAGGGAAACCAGCACTCCCCAAAACCACACTAGTACAGAGTTCTTCTAAGAGGGTACCTTTCTTTGATCACTTGGCCCCACAGCACAAATGCTCAGGTGAGGAAGGAAAAGCTCTAGAATGTATGGGGAAGATACCATCAACTGATTCTAGAAGCTGAGCATTGGCTAATCAGAGGGAAGACAGGCTCTAGTTCCATGGCCAAGGACATGGGGGACCCTAAGTCAACATGGTAAGGGTGAGGGGATCAGCAGATCAGATGCCAGGCAGGAAGACTCTCGTTTTGCATACAGGCTTATCTCCTTCCCTTGCCCTCCAAAGGCCCAGGACAGACCTCTGACAAGAAGCTGGGTCCAGAGGGGCCAAGGTTGCCTCTGTGTCCATGCTCAGGGTAGTTCTTCAGAGCCCTTCCAACTGTGTCCATAGAGGCCCTCATCTCATGGCCAGCATGTCAAGAATCTACGGACCAATGAGCCTTTGAGGTTTTCTGATCTGAACACTCATCCTACTCAGTCTCATTTGCCTCATTTACACCACAGTGACAGGGTGTTCACTAACACAAGAGCTGACCCTTCTAGAAAAGTCTGCCTTCTACTAAACCAAAGCCTGTGTAGCCACCATTCACTTGTTTTAATTTCCTCCTCAGGGCCACAGAAAATCCACTGTAACACCCCAGAACTTTATAGACTGTCTCTATGTCTCTCCTGATTTGTCCTCAGTTCCTTCAGTCACTTGCACCACAGTTGTGCCAGCAGCTAGTGTATTTTATCTTGGCCCAACATGCTCTCCCAGTAGGGAACTCCTTATTTCACAGGGATGCTGTGACAGGAAGTGAACTTGGATTTGCCTGTGGAGGCGGCACTTTTTCTGCAGGATGGGAAGAGGCTGGCACACTAAGGAAAATACAGCAGTGATAACACAGGCTAATGGGGCCCCTGGGTCATGGGAATCGGAATATCCCCTTTGGACTTAGCAGGTAGGGTTAGGATTTGTGCACCTGCAAACAAAAGCATTCCATCAAACACATCAGTCATAGTTGTGCAGGCCCTTAACCCTGACCCGGCCCTTCTCTCATCTGGATCCTGAAGTGGAAACGCTCCTCTGGAAACTTTATCCCAGCTGGGTCTGAGCAGGACAGAGTAGGCCCCTTCACTCTGAAGGAAGCCAGGAAAGTGTCAAACTTTCTGACCACTGATGCTCACACAGCGCATGGCCTTGCATCTTCTCTCACATGGGTCGCTGGGGAGCCAAGCCTCTCCCAGCTGCTGGTGTGGTTCTCTGAGACAAGTTTAGTGACTTCAATAACAACTATAAGACCAGGGAGTTTGGGTATCAACTGCTTTCATAACAAACAGTGACAACATCCAGAAAGCCTAGTCACTAGAAAATGTTCTGGGCACACCTAGCTCCTAGTACAGCACCCCTGGGATGCAACTTGCCTCTCTATCCCATCAAATACATTTCTTGGCATAATCACCCAAGCATGGATCCCACAGAAACTTAATGCTTTGCGTCCACTGCAGTAGAAGCAATGTTCTAAGAGAGGTCATGCAGTAAAGTAACTAAGAGCATGAACTTTAGAGTTAAAGCTATATTCAAATATCACTCCTTTCCTCCAGAACTGCTAGTGTGGCCTTGGGAAAGTCATGTACCTCTCTGAGCCTCAGTCAGTTAAAAAGATGACATCACCACCTCCCTTATAGTGCTACTGTGAGGGTTAAATAATAGAAAATGCAGTGACTGGCACACATTATGTTCTCTATTGGAGTCAAGACACACAGAACTCATCATGCTCTGTGCCTCAGTTTCTCCCTCTCTAATCCCTTTGTACTCACTACACCTTCCTTCTTAAGCCTAGGATAACATGAGGAGCCTGCATGATCTGCCTCCTCCTCTCCTCCACGGCCTTAGCCACACCACTGTATCCTGGTTCTCCTTGGTTCCTTTTGCTCCTTCCCCTTTAACCTCAACAATCCCCAAACCCCTGGTTCTTCAAAGCTCTACACACATGCCATGTCCCCTCAGAAGCCTTCTTAGAAGCTACAGTGATTCTTAAGACTTCAGCTGAGAAATAGGTCAAACAAATCTGTGTACAGTCATTGTACATAGTCTGTCATTTTGGCATATTTTCTTTCCCCAACCCAGACTATCTGAAAATTCCTTAAGACCAGAGAGCCTCAATTTTTTTCTTGTAACTGCCCATGTCTTCTGCATAGCTGTGCAGACAGCAAATGTTCAACAGATACATAAGTGAACTGATTGATTTCTAGCCACAGGACTTTGTGGTGTCTCCCCCCTCAATGGAGACCCCTCCACCTGCTGCTTTTGGGTCTAACATTCATGCACCTGCTCTGCCAAGATGGGTGGAGATCCCTATATTAAAAACGTCTCAAGCCAGCTATACTGGGGACTGCAGGCGGCATACTCTCTGTGGCAGGGGGAGCCCCACAGGTCTCTCCCTATCCTCAGCTGATTAAAGGTCACATTCCTGCAGGCTCTTCCATGGCTCAGGCATAAGAAGGGGTGTTCACAGTGGGAGCGTTCAGAAAGCTGTGGGAAGGCACAATCAATAGCAGCTCTCTTTCACACAGAATGCCTCTCTCTTCTACAGGATCCTCCTTGTGCTCTCTGTGTAATGAAGGCTGAGTCAGAGCCTGGAGCATTACCCCCTACAGGGACCCAGTGTTCACCTCTAAATGGAGAAAGGAGGCTACCAGTGAGCCTCAAAGCCGCTTAACTCCATGTAGACCTTGTTTCCCAGCAACAAAAGTAAAGAGTCCACGGAGCCACTTGTGGCTGAAAATACAAATCAGGGGCACCCTATGAACCCAACACACATTCCTGCTCCCACCAGAGGCTCTGAAGAAGTGAGTGGTTATTCTTAGAGGTACATTTGGTTCTAACCAAGGGAATGCAGAGATCAGGCTTGGCCCTCATTTTATAAGCCAAAGACTTCACAACAGAACTCACAAGCAACTACAGACAGTCAGAGTTTAGGGCTGTAAAAAAATGAAACTCTCCCGATTCATATGGAAGGTGCTTTCATTTGGGATCCAGATTTGGTAAGACAGCAAGGTCTTTGGCTTAGGCTCCAATGAGGTAACACTCTCAGAAAGGTGAGGGGCTAAGGAAGACAGGATCCCTGGTGCCACTCACCTTTAGATCCAGGTACTCCAGGTCTTTCTTCAGCTGGAGGTAGGTATCATCAGCCTTCAAAGGAAGTAGAGGAAGGGAAGAAAACCAAGAAGTTATGAGCATTAAGGGTTTCTATAACTTGGGCTTCAAAACTGTATCATTTACAATGAGCAGCTTTAGGAACAAGGGACCACAGTAGACCAATACATCCAGGACCATGGAAGAAGCACAAATGTCTTGCTACAGTTCAGTGCCCTCTTTTGGCATGGCAGTGCTTGCCAGTCACTGTGGGGGAAGCCAGCTTGTGACTCCATTAGCAATTTGGTGGGGAGGATCCCACTGGAGGGCTAGGACTAGGATGGTAGAGCAGCTGAGGAAGATGAGCGGATGCTAGGCTCCTGAGGCAAAACAAGGAGGTCTACCTGGAAAAGCACATGCCACACCTGAGCTAAGATCCCATCCATCACCACTGCTCCAATTATTTTCATTAAATCTTTTAACTGGGCCACTTCACATACATAAAGTAAGATGACCCAGACGGTTGTGGAATGCCCTGAAAAGGCAGGGAGATGACTTGGGTGACCCAGCAGGTGATATTGGGTCTCAAGATGTTAAGTTCTAGCAGCTGCTGGAAGTTTCCTGGAAGTTTTGCTCTTTTTGCTCAGCAAGGAGCCAATGTGCCCATGGCAGGAGCTAGTATATAAAGTTCCACTGTCAGATCTATTTGCTTATGAAGTTTCTGACCATCTGTTGAGCTCTTTAGTGTAATTACCGGAAACAGAGGAAATAAGGAAAAGACTTTCTAGAACGCATGCTTTTCTGTATAGCAGATCACAGAAGCCAACATTAAGGCAGAGGGGCTGCAAGAGCTTAAGCATGGCCCAGGCACCACTTTCTCAGCAGACAAAGAGAGTCTCCCAGCCAAGCAAGCCAGAACTGGGGAAGGTGGTTCTCATGTATAAATCTGATGTGAAACAATCACACAAATACGCCATGTGAGAAGTTCACACATTGCTCTTTAGCATGGGAAGGCATGAAGGACAATTGTCAGGGACATTTGTGGCATTCAAGATCTTATTTGAGTCCCTTCACTGTCCCCATATCCATCCCTGCTTCCCAGTTCACCTAGTCCCTAACACTTTCCATAGAAGTAGGAAAGACAGAAATGGATAATATTATTAAAAATTGCCCACATTCAGAACTGGGTTTTTGCACATGTCCTCTTACATTCACTTTTCTAAATACATTTCCTGAGTCCCTTAGGTCTCCCTAAAACAGGACAAGGAAGGAAGGTAACAGTCCCATCACTTTCCTCATCTGTTCACTGCCTAGCTCTGTGCAGCTTGGGATAATCCATCTTATGTGGCTGAGCCTATCCCTGCCTGAGGACAACTCTGGGGAGGAATCAGTTTCTTAGGCTACTCAAGATGTCTGGGAGAGCAACTCTCTAGCTGGCTCAAGGAGCATGCCTGCAAAACCCAATGTCCCAAGCACAGTTTAGAACACTGCACCAGACAGGACCTGGATTTTGGCTCCAGCCTGCATGCTTCTAGTGAGGAATCCTGGGTAAGTCACTTCCCCTTCTGCATTCTCTTTTCCTGTGTTGGTAATAAGTCCATCCAACCTAACCTCTCTCCCTCAGTGAGGTCAGGTACTGTGAGACTGAGCAGGACAGGAGACATGAGCTGCTTGGTGGGTTAGCAAGGCCCTGTCCAGAAAAGAGATGATATCCTGCATTATCCCTCCAGGCTGACCCAAGGAGTGTTCACAGTGGTGACAGGCTAACAGTGGCACAGCCCTTTGGACAAGACCATACACTAGCCTGGCAGTCACTACATACAGCCCAAAGCCACAGTTCAGTTTCCTCACACTGCATGCAGCCCCCTCCCCAGAGCCAGAGGGGAGTGCTCCCCACTGCTGTACAGTGTCTGGCAGTAGCATCTAGAAGCAACAGGCAGGGAATGAGGAAGAGAGCCATACAGTCAACACAGACCAGAGCATGGCACAAGGGAACATGGGCTAGCACGCCACTCCCCTGTGCTGACCTGGCAGGTGGGAAAGGTCAGGTGGTGCTGTAGTAACTGGCCGACAGCAAAATTTCGCACGCTGGCTAACTTGGCCTGGTGCCGCCGCAAGCGGGTGAGAAGCAGAGAGAGCTCCTCCAGCTGCAGGTGCATAGACACATCAGGAGGAAATTAGCTATCACACAGCACACCACTGTAATTACATTCCTCACTCTGGTGCCGGGATAGCCCTGATGTGACACCGCTAGGCAGTGACTGCATTAATTCTGCCGTTAGAACAAACAAAGGCACTGGAAGCATAGGGCTGCAGGGAGTCATTGTCGTAGGAAAGCTGCAACCATCAATGCAACCTCACCCAAACTTGAGATTCGACGACAGAGTTAGCTAATCAAAGTGAAGACTGGGTCAGAAAGGAGAGAGTTAACAGGAGAGAGTGGGTGGCTGGAATATGCTTCTGGAACAATCCTATTCAAAAGAGAAGACAGGAGTGGCTCAAATGGCAGAGTGCCTGTCTAGCAAGTGAGAGTCCCTGAGTTCAAACCCCAGTACCATCCAAAAAAAAAAAAAAAGAGGAGAGAGAGAAGACAAGCCAACATTCGCTCCCTCTTCTCCCAATCTTTGGAGAAGCAGCGGCATGACCATGAGCAAGTCATTGCACTTCTCCGAGTCTCTGTTTCCTCATCTCTGGAATGGAGGCTGACTGTTACCCCAGTGAGACGCGGCCTTATAGGCAGCATTGTCATTCACTCTGACGAGAGGCTGCTTACCGATTTTCCATGTAAACTGGGAGCGCTGACGGTGTGGGTCATGTAGCCCAGGGAGGGCATGGAGCGCCGGTCCACATGAGAGGAGTTCTGCTGGGGAGGGGGAGGAGGAGACCAGAAGTCACACGGAAGCTTGGCAAGAAGGTCTCCACCACTCACTCCCGGGGAAGCTTCCCCTTTCTGGACCTTAGACTCGTTTGTAAAGTGGACATACCCATTTTCCTCACCAAGTAGAGCAGCGTGAAAGTTTTCACAACTGTCAAAGTCCCTTGGAGCATTAAGCTTAAGTTGGGCTGTTGTAAATAACTGAACTGATTGAACACAGACAGCTATCTGTCTTTCCAACTGATAGGAAGCTGACTTCTAGTTGTGCGAGTTACTCTGTTTCTCAGTGGCTCAGAGTTCTTATCTGTGAAATAGACCTAATCATAGCACCTACCTCGTTGGGCTCTGGTAAAGAATTAAAGTAAAACCTTTAGAATGGCACTGTACCTAAAAAGTACTACATATGCATCTAGCCATTATTATTGATTTCAGTGGCTCAAATTTGCTCACACCAGGTGAGGATCTGGCACCTAATGCCAGACCCTGGCCACCTGTTCCCAAGCCTCACCTTGATGGTGTGGCCCCGTGCCTTCCTGGGAGAACTCCCCAGTGAGATATCCATACTCCTCCTTTGGTCAGGTGGCTTCACGGTGACCCTTTCTGCTGGCGTGTGTGGCCGTCGGGGCGGGAAGACCCTTGGAGGCCCTGTGGGAGGGATGTCGGAGGGAGATGGAGGCACGGAGATGGAGCGGGGCACCTCCAGCATGCTCCGGCCGTGGTCAGTAAACTCTGGGGAGCCTGTGCAGATGGGTGCTGTGGGGCTGCCATGCCGGAACTGCTGACGCTGCTGCCACTCATAAAGCTGCCACACAGTGCCATCCCGGTGTGCCCGGCGCTCTTCACTCGACATCTTCAGGTGGCTGGCTCGGTCCTGTGCATACTTGTAGTCACTTGGCAGGTTCCGAGGAGGGGGCGAGGAGCTCCCCGAGGGGTGTCGTGTGCTCTTGGGAAGACTCTGGTAGTTTTCTGAGAAGGACAGAGACTGGCTAGGACCCTGGCGAGGAAGCGTCTGGTCTGAAGGAAGGCTGAAGAGAAAGGGAAAGACAAGTCAGTCCACCAAGCAAGGGAGCACAGCTAAGCAAATCCACAAGGGGGTTGTGTGTGTGTTACGGTGAGTGTGGGAAGCAGCGCAATCTGCGAGAATCCCAAAATCGTCATCAAAGCAGACACCCAGGGCTCTTGTCCCTTCTCTTTGCAGAAGACTCATGCCCCTACTTTAAGTGCAGTGAGATTAACCTGCCTCTCCTCTGTCTCTTGCCTGCGATCTGTGACAATGGATGTGCATGTGTCTAGGAAAGGCCTCTGTGATACCAATATTTGCCCTCTGCCTGGGAGCCAAGCACCAACTTCTGGAGGTTCTTAAAGGAAATGGCTGGCATCAGTTCTTTCCCTTTTCTTCTGTTATAGTGTACACACTGATTAATCAACCCCCCCCTACACAACTTTGAGCTCCTCCTGTTTCCACCTTGCACGTAACCATACTCACCTGCTCTTATCCAGTCACTCCTGTGGTCCCAAAGCCTCAGTGGCTCCTGTGACACAAAATCTAAACTCCTTGGTCTAGTACTCACAGCTCCAGCACCTGACCTCAATGCACCTTGCAGTACTGCTGTTTACTCATTGCTCCTTCCTGTCAGGGCCAAGACTAACCTGGGGCAAGCCAGGTATCTACAGTCCAAACTAGAAGGAGGCACTCCCTCCCAGGCACACCCCACCCTCCACCTGAATGAGCCTAACCCTAGTCCAAGGCCAGCCTCCCCCACTCAAAAAAGCTAAGTTAAGTAGTAGTCTGACTTGGATTTGAATTTAGGATCTACCATTCTCTGGCATTATCACTGTATGTGGATTACTGACTGTTCTGAGCCTCAGTTTCCCTACCTGATATGTGAGGCAGTATTGCCTACCGCATACAGTTGTTCTGAGGAGTAAATGAGATTGGTAAGTGAAAATGCATCCTCCTTGTCTGCTACACTGAAGGGTCCTTCACCATTATGCTCCCTCCTTATTCTTACATCACTGTTTTTCCCTCACCTGCCTATACCGGCTCTCCTGGGCCCATTTACACAAATCTTGCTCATTCTGCAGGACAATGGCCCATGCTGCTCCCCTGGGCAGCCTTGAGTGCTCCTCCTCTGTTTAACCTGGTTATTGCACTGTCTATAACTTTTCCAAGGCCCTGTGCTGATATGATCTTTGCATACTTGCAAGACATCTCTTCCCCAGCCAAGATGAAAATTCTTAAAGGATAGGAACGGTGTCTCACATTCTGTGGTATCATCCATGGTCTGAAAGTCCTGACACATAACCAGGTCTTCAATAAGTCCTCCAAAAACTGGATATGACTTTGAAAACTACTACCAACTAGCTGATTTTCTGAGAAGAAACATTCAACAAGAGATAAATTATGGAGTTTTTTTTTTAAATTAAAAATCTAAACTGCAAGGAAGTATATTATAAAAAGAGAACAGGCTTCATAGCCAGACAGGACTGAGTTCAAATTCTGATTCTGCCTTTATCAATTTTATCTAATAAACTTTTATGTAGTGCTCACCAGGTACCAGAAATTGTTCTATGCCAATTGCTACTCAAAGTGTGATCAGTCCTTGGACCATCAGGTTAAAAATGCAGGTTAGTGACCAGGTGTCGTGGTGCACACCTATAATCTCAGATACTGGATTGGGGTTGGGGACAGAGGCAGGGGGGAGCACAATCTGAGGCCAGTCTCAGGCAAAAACATAAAATCTTCTCTGAAAAATAAACTAAAGCAAAAAGGACTAGGAACATGGCTCAAGTGGCAGAATGCTTGCCTAACAAGTGTAAGACTCTGAGTTAGAACCCCACTATGGCCAAAATAAAAAAAAAAAAATTCAGGTTCATAAAGTTAAGCATCGAAAAACACATATTGTATGATCTTACTCATATGTGAAATCTAAAAAAGTGGAACTCATAGAACAAAGAGCAAAACTGTCATTACCAATCTGGAGAGGGAGCAAAGTTTCAGTCAGACCAGAGGAAGAGTTAGAGCTCTATAGCACAATACACAACAACATTGTGTATTGAAATTTACATTGTGTTACACTGCAACACAATATAAATTTCAAAATTGTGCAAAGAATAGATTTTAAGTGTTCTTACCACAAAAAAGATAAGAAGGGGAGGTGATGGATATTAATTAGCTTGACCTATATTAGCCCAATGTATATATCCATCAAAACATCACATTTAACCTATAAATATATAATGATTACTTTTCAATTAAAAATAATTTTTTAAATGCAGGCTATCAGCCCCACCACAGATTGAATCAGCACATTTGAGGCAGGGCCTGGTCATCTGCATTTAAACAGCCATCCAGATGACCCTGAGGCAGCCTAAGCTTTGGGAAGTGCTGTGCTAATTGTCTTATACTCTGTATATTTAATCACTTCTAGCGGTCTGACCTCAGGCAATGTCATTTCTGTCTGCTGAGTCTCTTTCCTTACTATGCAATGGGATAAGAACCATTTAATAGATTAGAAATAGGTGACATTCAATAGGGTAGCTTTTTTCTCCCCTTTTAATAGTTATTTTGCAGTTACAGGAGGTAATTTTAAGATTTCTTCAACCTAGACTTGTCCTGTGTGCCAAATGTGTCCACTTGCCACTAGGTGGCAGGATTTTTGTTCAATTTCTCAAAGTCAGATGGACATGTGTCTGAAGCCAAGGCAGAGTCTGCCTGAGTCCTCAGAGGTGGTGGGGCTATCCCTGGAAGTTCAGGATTTTACTAACCATTGTTCATTCTGCCTGAAGCAAACCGCAAAGTATGCAAAGCATGCCCCAGCTGTGTTCCCACTCTCCACCCCTTCTGTCTGCTATGCAGCCCACTCGCAGCCCACTGCTGGCACCTGCCTACCATTCCTGGATGGTCAGCCATCACATCCTGAGCTTGTCCTCTAGCCATGTCCTCCACTTACATTTTGCCTAATTTGGGGTTGACCCTAAGATACCAGCCTAGTGGTGGGCCCTGGTAGCCAAATCATGGTAACTAACTAACTAACTAACTAATAGAGGAGGAAGGAATCTGGGTGATCCCCAGAAGATGAGGTAAAGACCCCCAGCAGCAGGTAGAAGCTCCCAGAGCATCTTGGGTCCAACCCAGACTTATCCCAAAATAGTGGGTCAATGTGTCTTTCCTTTATATCCTACTCTGTGGCCAGGGGACCTCCTGGTCTCAAAAGGCACCAAAAGGGTATTCTGAGACAGTCATTACAAATATGATCAAAGTGTAAAATCATGTTTATAACAAATTATTTATGTGGCAGAAATTCTCACTCTAGCTTCCTTATCAGTCACATAGGACTTGCACTTTCTATTCTATTCCCTTTAGTAGAGTTTGAGTCCCCTGCCCTACTCCCACTCCTGTCTTTTTATTTCACAAACATGCTTTACTTTAAACACTGGGGACAAAAATAGAAAGCTAGAATTTTAAAACAAGCTCTTCCGAATGTGCTCAGATTCTAAGGGTATGTCAGACTCCCACAAACCAAATTCTAAAGGAGTTTAATGGCATGAGATACATATCCTCAAGTACTGACAGAACAGTTAGAAATAATTCCCTACGTGACCTAAAGCCAAGAATACGGGACCATATTACAGTCCTTCCGATGTCTTAATGTGCTCAGTCTAACGATAATGAGATGAGCACAGTTTTAATTATATGGAAAACAGACATGTCCATCTTTTACATTTTCAAGTGTAAAATGGAAGAGGTTCCTTTATCAAGCAGCCTGACCTACTTATCACTTACTATAAGAAATTACAAATACATTTTTAAGGGAAAAAACCCTAGGAATGCAAGAAGTCAACCTTTCAAGAAACAAATGAGAGACCAAAGACAGAGCATTTTGCTCACTCAGAGAATGCCAGCACTCAGCCTTCAATCCTTTACCTTTATTCACTTTTTATCTTACTGAGATCTGCTTCACACCTAGTCTAAAATGCCTCTCACTGTGTGCCATGATCTCCAAGGCCAATGAGCTACTCTCTTCTACAGACCTGATATCCCCCTGCCCCTTGAGTAAGAATGGGCTCAAGCTCCAACCTCACATCCTAGGAAAAGCCCAACTCTCATCCCCTTGATTACTCCTTCGACTCCTGGATGCATGCTCCATCCCATCCCCCACTCCCATCACAGGTCATTGTGTGTAGCAGAATAATAGAGGTTTGTGGGTTGCCAGAAATGGTTATGTAGAGAAATTTCATAACCAACAGCTTGTAACTGCACATCAGTTGCCCTGTCTTTAAAGTCCTTTCTTCCACAAAAGAGTTCTCACTGGACGTGAATTTCACTGGCTCCTTCCCCAACTCTATCTCTTGACCTAACTTTCAAACTAGCTCTATCAAGATGCTCTGTGAATGTGAAGCCACACAACTATAACCAACTTGTCTTTGACAAAGGCGCTAAAAATATATGATGGGGAAATAGCCTCTTCAACAAAAACTGTTGGGAAAACTGGTTAGCAGTCTGCAAAAAACTGAAACTATATCCATGTATATCACTCTATACCAATATTAATTCAAAATGGATCAAGGATCTTAATATCAGACCATAAACTCTAAGGTTGATGCAGGAAAGAGTAGGAAATACTCTGGAGTAGTAGGTATAGGTATGAACTTTCTCAATGAAACTCCAGCAGCACAGCAACTAAGAGATTGCATAGATAAATGGGCCTTCATAAAACTCAAAAGCTTCATAAAACACATCAGACAAAGGACTGATAACCAGAATATATAGGGAACTTAAAAAACTAAATTCTTCCAAAACTAAAGAAACAATAAAGAAATGGGCAAGTGAACTAAACAGAACTTTCTCAAAAGAAGAAATTCAAATGGCCAAAAAACACATGAAAAAATGCTCACCATCTCTAGCAATAAAGAAAATGCAAATTAAAACCACACTAAGATTCCACCTCACCCGTTAGAATAGCCATCATTAGCAACACCACCAACAACAAGTGTTGGTGAGGATGCAGGGAAAAAGGAACCCTCTTACACTGCTGGTGGGAAAGTAAACTAGTACAACCACTCTGGAAAAAAATTTGGAGGCTACTTAAAAAGCTAAACATTGATCTACCACTTGATACAGCAATACCACTCTTGGGGATATACCCAAAAGACTGTGACACAGGTTACTCCAGAGGCACCTGCACACCCATGTTTATTGCAGCACTATTCACAATAGCCAAGTTATGGAAACAGCCAAGATGCCCCACTACTGATGAATGGATTAAGAAAATGTGGTATCTATACACAATGGAATTTTATGCAGCCATGAAGAAGAATGAAATGTTATCATTCGCTGGTAAATGGATGGAATTGAAGAACATCATTCTGAGTGAGGTTAGCCTGGTACAAAAGACCAAAATTGTATGTTCTCCCTCATATGTGGACATCAAATCAAGGGCAAACACAACAAGGGGATTGAACTTTGATCACAAGATAAAAGCAAGTGCACACAAGGGAGATTTGAGGATAGGTAAGACACCTAAAAAACTAGATAGCATTTGTTGCTCTCAACACAGAGAAACTAAAGCAGACACTTTAAAGCAACTGAGGCCAATAGGAGAAGGGGACCAGGAACTAGAGAAAAGGTTAGATCAAAAAGAATTAACCTAGAAGGTAACACACACGCACAGGAAATCAATGTGAGTCAATGCCCTGTATAGCTATCCTTATCTCAACTAGCAAAAACCCTTGTTCCTTCCTATTATTGCTTCTACTCTCTCTACAACAAAATTAGAAATAAGGGCAAAATAGTTTCTGCTGGGTATCGAGGGGGTGGGGGGGAGAGGGAGGGATGGAGTGGGTGGTAAGGGAGGGGGTGGGGACAGGGGGGAGAAATGACCCAAGCATTGTATGCACATACGAATAATAAAAAAAAAAAAAGATGCTCTGTGAAAGAAAAGGCCTCCTACCATGAGCAATGGAACAGATACTCAGGCTATAGGCTTTACTTCAGTGGTGTCTACCTCAGAAGGTGCCCCACCTAGGGAGAAAGAAATCCTCACTTGCAGCACCTCGAACTGATGACTGAACTCCAATGGAAACTCTCTCCACAGACCATTCTACTTTCCTCCCTATCTCCTATTCAGTCGCCTTTAAGGAGATTTTGCTTCTACCTGACCCTTAGGTTGGGGATTCTTGGGGTTGTCTTTGGTCTTCTGCTGTTGCTCACTCTGAAGCAGGGATTCTCAACCCTGCCAAATGTTAGAATCCATGGGGGAGGATGTGGTTTTCAAAACTCCTGATGTCTGGGATGCAACTCAAACCAATAGATTTTCTAGGCAAGAGACTGAGGCCTCGATCAATGTTAAACCTCTCAATGTGTAGCCATGCAATAGTTTCTCCACTGTGGCCATATGTTGGTGGGAGCACCTGGGGAGTTTTTAAAACGTACGATGCACTGATCTCACCACAAACCAATTCAATCAAAATCTCTAAGGCAGGGTCTTAAATGATCAAATTGGGTAGCCAGGATGAAGAACTATGGCTTCAAGTATTCCACCCTGGGTAACCAACTGCTGCCAGGGTGTCAGTTACTACCCCCAGGGCAATGATGCCCACGACCTAGTGGTCATCTCCTGGACACTCCACAAGTCCCATACTCATCAGTAAGTTCACCTTTCTCACCTTTGCTCACATCTGTTGAGAGACACCTCATCTACCTATTATCCAAGCCAAACCTGAGTGGGACTCCAACTCCACCTGTGCCTCACCCCCTCCCCCCATATTACCAAAATGGAAGTCATGAGTTTCCCAAACCTGCTCCTTTCTCAGCCTTTCCATCTCAGCAGCCACTCAGTTGCTCAAGTAAAAACTCTAGGATCATCCTCATCATTCCTCTCTTCCCTTCATCTTGTACATCTAATGCATGAACAAGCGTCACTATTTCGACCTCCAAAATGTACTTCAAACCTGTTTATTTCTATTTCCATTGCCACCATCCTGGATGATTACCTTCTTTTCTTTGTGAAATCTCAGATCACATCAATCACCTGCTTAAAACCTTCCAGTGGTTCTCCCTATAACTTTTTTTGAGGGGTGGAGAAGTATTGTGCTCAGACTTTGCACTTGCTAGTCAAGTGCTCTACCACTTGAGTCATGGCACTCGCCCCCCCAGCCCCCCTTGCTTTATTAGGTTATTTTTCAGATAATCTCAGACAGCAATCTTCCTACCTATGGCTTCCAGTGTAGTTGGGATGATAGGTACAAGCCATCAAGCCCAGCTAATTGGTTGAGAAGGGATCTCAATAACTTTTTTTTCCCATAGGCTGCCCTCAAACTGTGATCCTCCTAATCTCTATCTCCTGAGTAGCCAGGATTACAGGTGTTAGTCACTGTTCCTGGTCCCTTCCTACAGCTTTTTCAAGTAAAATTCAAATGCTTTACCTTGGACTAGGAAAGCCTACACAATACTACTCCTACCAACCTTGCAACTTCAGTCGGCAGTATGTCATCTAAGACCATCTGCATGGGAAGCCTCCCTAGCCCAGCACCAAGGACAGCAGTACCACTCCTATGTGTTCAGAGACAGTAGTAGCTTTCTGTGTTCAGTAAGATACAAAATTTGAAGAAACAAAATTGACACCTGCTCACTCCCACTGGGAATCTTGCTAAAACACAAAGGGCCTTCCTTTCTGGTCTGTTGCATAGTCATGTCTCTCAGTGGCTTTAGAAGGTTTCCACTGTGAGTTCTCACCATCTACCCTCACAACTGCCCAGCTGGACCAGATTAACTGGTCACAGAAATTCACACATACACATCACACCCACATCTGAAAATAGGCTAAGGCTATTCCTGGAGGAGAACTCCAGCCTCCAGAGTCCAGGTTGACAGTCTGAACCTCACTGACGGAGAGAAGCAAGTGTGGCATTTTAGAATATATTATCAGGCCTGTGGCAAACCTGGTCTGAGCGATGGTACTCCCACCACTGCCACTCTGGCCTCTGGGGAGCCTCCGGGATGCACAATGGCTTTGCTGTCTCCTCTCTTATCACTAGCTTATTTTAGAAGGCTGAGGATGGCGAGAGGAATTTGCCATGTCTTCATAATGAAGACAAAGCACAGTGGCTTTAGGGGACAACAAGGAAGGTGGTGACCCTTAATTCTTCACATTTGTAAGTGTGTCCTAATTCATCTAAAATTATAATAAAATACAAACAGCTGTTTGCAAATAGTAAGAGATGCACCACCCCTTCTAAATAATTAAAAACTGCTTTTTGAAGGAAAAGGTTTAACAAAGCCTAATGTCAACAGTACCTGAGTGCTTCTCTATACTGCTCTCTGTGCCTGGAATTAAAACACAGGTCTATGTTTACTCTAGTTTCTACAAATATTTCTCAGATACAGAGAAGCAGCTGCCTAAGAGAGGATCAGTTACTATCTCCATGCTGAGTATCTTAAAGGGTCCTCTCTGAAAAGCAGAGAAACCTCTCATGTAATCTTGTGTGGGCTCTGGAGATCCACAGATCCCAATCTGAACACTGGCTTTGCCACTAATCTGTGTGGTCTTGGCAGATTGTTTCACTTTTCCAAACCCCAGTCTTTTTGTCTACAAATTAGGAATATAACTCTTCCTTGCATTATGGGGATTTGAGTAGATAATGGACATAGAGTTTAAGGCTAGAGTTTACCCAGCAAGTGCTGGAGAAATGATAGCTATTGTCACCACATTATTATGTCCATTATTAGCAGGATCCTGATGCTATGACTGACCTCCTGCCTTCTCCCCTCTGGGCCTTCACCCAGTGCTCTCCCTGGGCCAGGTTGGTCTTCCTCTGGCTGTACTTCTCTGGGTTGACTCTGGGAGGAAAAGCCCGTTGGTAACTTCCAGTCCCATTCTGCTCTCCTGGGCCATAGGAGGCAGGCAGCATGCCATTCTTCTCTGTCCGCTGAGGCTGTGCTTGCTGGCCTCTTGGGCCACCAGGCATATCCACAAACAAGGCATCCTCCTCTGCTGGCGAGTATGGGGACCTGGCCTTGCTCCTGTCCCGCTTGCCCTCCAGCGGGTCTCTCTGGGGTCGGTACCGCTCTTCCTCCTGCTCCCTCTTCTCGAAGCCAAAGGAATCATCATAGCCGTGATGAGGACAATCCCTTGAGTGTCCAGGGCCCATGTGGCCACACTCTTGACAGGACTCTGCGTGGTTGGCCTGAGGCACTGCCTGCCGCTCCACCTTCTCCATGTCCCTGAAACAACAGCAGCACATTCAGCCCTCTCTATAGCCATGACTCCCCAACTGACACACTTTACAGTCACTCACCTCTGGGCCTTTGCATGAGCTAGTTTCTCTGCCTGGACCACCTTTCATGCCCAGGCTCTCACCTGCCTGCCTTCAATTCCTTTGGGGATCTAGCCTAAATGCTGTCTCCTTTAGGAAGCCACCCCGATATACAACTTGTCTGGAAAGAGACTTTATGCTGATACTACTGCCATACCAAATATATTGGATCCATAACTGGGTGTTTACTCATCTAGCTCCTGAACAGACTAGGGGTTCCTTCAGGCCAAAGGTCCATCTGGCAGATCACTGTATGCTCAGAACTTCTGCATGATGATTGGGTATATACAAGGTATTCTGTAAGTACTATTTCCTGAAAGAACATGCAAGTGATACATGTAACCACCTCATAAAACCCATGCCTGTGCAATCCTGCCTTTCCTTTCTGCTACTTGTCCATCTATCTGGGGCAGTCCAGTTTGGATAGAAAGCTCCTGAGCCTAGAATATCTTCAACTCATGTCTAGTACAGCCCAAAGTACAGTTGGCTGCCTAATTAGCATTCTTCAGAGATAGTAACTAGAGAAGAGTCACTTCTCTATATTCCCCCTTATCTATTTTATCAGGGTACAGCTCCAACAGGAACCCAGTGACAATGACCTAACAACAACTGGTTGTCAGATTTTAGAGCTAAGGAACTGGAGGCACAGAGGAGACCGATGATTTGCCAAAGATCATACAGCTGGAAGGTGGCACTGGGGCTTAAACCCAGGTAGATGCTAAAGTCCTTGTGCTTGAGCCTCTGCTTCTACTGCATCTCCATGTGTGTCCATGGCTTGCACACATGCAAACTGGGCAACTGTAAAGAATAGACTGGAGTGATAAATCAAGGTTTAAAATGAGGCTAGAGGAGGAGCTGCGACCCAGTGGAAGGCTCCTCTTTTAAGGCTTGTCTTTCACTCTAAGTCACCTTTTTTCTTGTCCTCTTTGGACAGGTTCAGGTTATGTCTACATCCACATCACTTAGCTCCAGGGTGTCAACAGTGGCCCCATTAGAGTCAGAGGAACATACTCCAGCCCAGCCTTTATGCACCAGAACTCTTAGCTACAGACTCTAGTTAGGGCAGCCTGTTCAGCTGTACTCCTTGCTAAAAAAGGTTCTGGCCTTAAGATGCATGACTCCTAAAATGGCAAAGCCAGCAGATTCTCCATTTCAACCTGAGAATACATAATGTAAATACTGCTACATTTACATTTTCATGGTCAGACATCCTTGCAACCTCAGAACCTCAGCTACCAAAAACCAGGACAGATTCAGAGCACAATCCAGTTTTGGAGAAGGAATATCAATATAAAATGAAAATACAATTCCCAACAGGGGGCTATTTCTTATTGTGTGTAGTTTAACTGCTAGCCTTAACTTAGGCATGGAGAATGCAGAAAAACAATTGCACTTCTGTCGATGTACTAAGGCCTTCTCCATGGAAGTCCCAAGCTTTGTGGGGAAGAAAAATGTTTCTATGGACCTTCTTTTATTCATCACTAGGGCATATCATTCCTCCTAACTCAAACTGTATCCACTGTACTTCTGATAACAGCATTTAGGTTTTCATTTTGGGGTCACCCTCTCCCATTCTTAATTCATATGGTTTGGGTATTATTGACTCTATTATTATCTTTGTCCCACTGAGGCCCCAAAGTGTCACCAATTGGTTCAGGGGTTGACACATGGCTCAGTGCAAGCCAATCGAAGTTAGCCCTGGGACTTTGGATGGAGCTGGTCTTGAGCTGTTTATGCAGGAAGGTACTTGCTTCAGAATGAGGCCAACATCGAGGAAAACAGATGGAGAGAAATACAGTCCTTAGGACTTGGCCTGATCCCGGGTGTGGCTATACTAAGCCAGATACATCCTTGGACTTTAGAGCTGTGAACCATAAATTCCCTTTCCTGTGTAAGTTACAGTTTGGTTCCTACTACTTACACTGGAAAGACTCTTACATCACACTTTATAATAATAGATGAGATTTGTAATCTCTGCAGGCCCTTCCATCCTAATATTCAGTGGGTACATAAGCTCCAGAACTAAGAAAACATGATGGCTAGAATGTAGCTCTGTGGTAGAGTGCTTGCTCAGCATATGCAGGGCCTGGGGTCCATTACCAGCACCAAAAAAGGAAAAGACAAAAATAAATAAATAAAAAGAAGAAGAATGGAAAACATCCAGGGACCTATACTTGAAGGAAAAATAATTTTTAGTGTAAACTTACAAAGGAGCAAATCTCTTCTACAAGGTATACACGATAGATAGGTTTTAACTGCCTTTCCTTCTTCATCAGTGTGACACCACCAACAGCCTTTAAGTTGCTGATGTTGCCTTTATCTTCTTTACTATTTCTCACACTCAGGAAACCACCCCTGGAGGATGTGCTGAGGCTGCCTCTGAGATGATAAAAACCCTGCTGCCCTCTGGGTCACACCCTAATCAAATCACAGAAACTCTACAACCAGGTGTGCTGCTTTGGCTTCACTTGCTCTGGTATTTTCAAGTGGTCACTCCAACTGTAAATCCCAAGTAAATGTATCTTCTTGTTATTCACACCCCAAAAATAAACACTGTCTTAAGAAGCAGACAGTGAAACAAATATGTCACCTACATGTATGACGTCAGAACTAAAAAAGCTTCTTCAGCTCTAGCTCCCAAAGATTATAGGTGCAATGTCTTGACCCAACCAACTACAATGTGACTTTTCCTTTCTTTATTAATCAGTCACCATGATTTACTGAGCATCTATATAACCCCCACTGGGTTGGGAGGCAGGAGAAAGTAGTAGAAAAAATTGTGTTTTGCCTTCAAAACCAGATGAGCCTAAGGCCAGATTTAATTATGGTAACCATATTTAATTTAATCTTATAAATAAATCACTCCTAAATCAGGGAGTTTGCTAGTCTCCTCTAATCTTGAAGCTAATTTTGTAACAGTAAAAATCTTAGACCTTACTGGGTATGTATATGAGAGTTATACACTCTTAGACATGTTATCATTTTCTGGAAATCATTTTGGTAGGGAATGATAAGTCCTTTTCTTCAGATTAATAACAGCATTTACTGCAAAAAAAAACAAACCCTTTAGAAAGAAGTTAAAAGAATGTCAGTCTGCTTGCACCTGGCAGTTTTCTAACTCTAAGACTTTCGGGTTATAAACACTTCCTTACTCCCATGGTTTCTGTGACTTACATAAGATGTATCTTTGTGCCCTAAATGTTCAGGCTGTGGCTGCAGGTAAGAAAGGTGAAAGCCATATTTCCTACTCCTCAACCATAATTGACTTAAATATTTAACTAAGTTATGGGATTTAAGGCCGAAAGGGTTTCTTCCTATCTCCTTGCATTCCCAACAGTTTAACACATGACTTCTCAAATCATGAGACTTGTCACAAAAGAGATCTGCAATGCTCAATTTAGCACAATGGTGGCAAAGAATGAAGCACCTCTTGGCTGCCAATGACTGTGTTGTTCTGAGGGCTTGGCCATGCAGAACATAGATATTTAGCTAAGATGACATAAGTCCTCCAAATCAGCTACTGTTCTTGTGCAGGTCATCACCATCATCGTAAACACCTAGAATCGCTGATGATTCAAAGACAGAGAATTCTTGACATTCAGTGACAATTCTATCCATGTATGTCACATTTGAAAATGACAAAACCAGGGGGCATAGGATTTAGAACCAATTGGGGTCTGGATTTAAGAACTGACCCTACTACATGTAAGCTGAGTGACCTTGGACAGGTGATCTCTTTGGTCTCAGATCCCTTATCTACAAAATGGGATAATAGCCTCTGCCTCTTTGGGGTCACTGTGAGGATTAAAGGAGTCAATGTACAGAAATATGTTAGACTACCCAACATCTATTCTTTCCTTCTTTGTACCAAGCTAAAAAAAAAAAAAACAAACCTCATGTATCCAGCAAAAAATAAAATAATGATAATAATAATCATCATCTGCATTTCCCAAGCTCCCTTATAAATGAGAATGATCATATGACATATATGTGGTCAATAAGATTAGGCAGAAATTCCTGGATGGGTCTTCCAGGAAAGTCTTAAAGGAAGGCAAGGTTAGCTAACCTCTTCTTCCTGCCTGGAATTTAGACTCTCTGCTGGATTGCAAGGTGACAAAAATGAGGATGAATGTCACAAGCTAAAACCTGGGCATAAAATGATAAAGAGCCCAGGGTCCCTGATGACTTCCTGGAGCCTGGACTCTCTACCTCCTGATTTCTGTTAGGTGAGAAAAGCCAAAACCCATTTGATTATGCTACCATAAGTGGGAGTGTTTTATTGCTAGTAACCAAACACAATTGCTAGCTGAGAGCAGCTTATCACTAACTGGAGTGGGGATCCTGCATTTTCAGCACCTTATAGAATTCTACTGTCTGCAAATTTCTATTTTTCACTGCTAGTGGCAAGAGTATGTACTTCAGACAGGGGGTAGTCCTCTCTTTCTCCTTTTCTTCACACAAATTTGGTAGTTATCAGATCTTACCAAGCAATTGTGCACCAATGATTCTTTCACACACACACACACGCCCTCCACATCTCAAACATCATTCAAAGACTGAGGTGGGAAGAGGAATGACAGTAGATTTGGTCAAACCTTGGTCCTGCTGGCCCTTTTGCTCTAATTCCACTAGAAGGATCTCTTCCCCATTCACCTTACCTGAATGAACAAACTAACAGCCAAGAACAAGGGCTAGGCCACTTATATTCTTGGAGATTTTGAGCCGAGTCAGGCCAGGAGGCAGAAGTCCTGCCATGGGGAGCCAGCTCAGGCTGAGTTCATAGATCCTGTGTCCTACACACTAATCCCAGTCTCAGAAATAGGGTAGGCTCAAAAGCCAGAACCCACCCTAGGCATAAGTAGACTTATATACTTGTATAAGTAGACTTATACAAAAGGCTGAAGACAC